TATGTATCTCTCCATGGACCCAACAAACTTTCATGCCAAATTTGGTGAAGATCCATCAACAGGGGGTGAAGTAGTGGTAAAACTGTGTGTATCAATTTTGTAAAAAAAAACCTGGTCATGTTATGTCCGATTGTTGGGGTTTGAAAAACAAGAAAGAAAAGGAGGCAACACCCAATGCGTTTGTGTCCACATATGGACTTAGTTTCACCAGATCACCCAATGTTGTTAATTTAGCCACTGATATAAAGGTTGATGTAGTCAACCAGGAATTTAGACCTTTTGTGTCTGTTGGTTCTGTGTCTGTGACAAATGACACTTGCAATCCCATACGTATTCTATGTGATTCTGGGACGACTTAATCATTGTTGTTAGAAGGTGTATTGCCTTTAGATTCGAGTTCTGCTGCTGGTGAGTCTGTTCTTGCTAAGGGTATTGAGGGTGGCTTTGTTAATGTTCCTCTTCATAATATTTATTTAGCATCAGACCTAGTTTCGGGACCAGTTGTAGTTGGGGTAAGACCTACTCTGCCAATTAAGGGTGTATCATTGTTGTTGGGAAACGATTTGGCTGGGAGAAAAGTTGTTGCCGAACATAAAATGGTTAACGAGCCAATCACTGTTTCATCTAAGGATGATGTTGTAGTTGAGGAGAATCCCAATGTGTTTCCCTCATGTGCTGCGACTTGAGCTCAGGCTAAGAAATTAAGCCAAAAACAAATGATAGATACGGATTCAGAGGATGATATTATAGATTTGTCTGAGACATTTTTTTGGATCTAACAAGGATCTTGTGGATAATTGTCCTACTGATGGTTCCTCTGTGAGTGACAATGATGGATGTGAGGGATCTGATTCACCTTGTGAAGTTCCGTTTACTAAAAGTAAACTGATTACTGAACAAGAAATAGATGAACTGGAGAAAGTTCCAAATGTGCCAGCTTCAGAGGAATGGGCCATTGTTTATCAAATTGTTGTTCCCAAAGCATATCATTCTGAAATATTGAAAGTTGCCCATGAAATCCCCATGGGGGTCATTTAGGTGTGACAAGACATGTGACAAAATTATGAGAAGTTAATTTTGGCCAAAAATTAGGCAAGACGCTTCTCAGTTTTGCAAAACTTGTCATATCTGTCA